TGGCCCAGGATCGAACATTGTTTCGTTCTGCTGTGCATGGAGTTGCTATGAGTCGGTTCCGACTCGATGGCACCTGACAACAACAACAAGTACTAGATGGAGCCCTGGTGTGGCGTTGTAGGATAGACAGTGGATCACAAGTTCAGTTTGAATCTCAAACCCACCAGCTGCTTCAAACCCACCAGCTGCTACTTGGAACCCTTTAGGGTGACTATGAGTCCGAACCAACTCGATGGCCCTTAACAACAAATACTAGATGATGATTGTACCTTTGGATCATTCCTCCAGACTGGACAATCATTCATTCCTCTGTCTGCTCACCCCGCCATGGTGGTGATGGTGTGTTGTGGAGTCAGTTCTGACTCATAGCGACCCTGCATAGGGTTTCTGAGGCTGTAAATCTTTACAGGAGCAGAAAGCCTCATCTTTCTCTCACGGAACAGCTGGTCGTTTCAAACTGCTGACCTTGAGGTTAGCAGCTCAACTCATAACTACTACACTACCAGAGGACCGGGGAAAGTGTTAAATTATTTTCCCTATTGCTTTCCCGTGACCATGAACCCAACTGAAACAGATTATCAATATATTCTGGAATTGGCTCTCTCCAGCCTTCTTCCTTTACATTTTCTGCCTGCGTATTAAGGGATGGGCTCTGAGGATAGAAAGTTGAAGGAAATAGACTCTCACGTGACCAGTGGGATAGATGCGGTGAATAAAGAAAGGGCCCATAACTGCTCAGAAAATGGTTTCTCAGACAACGTGCTGCTTGAACCGAATCTTAATGGACTAGCCAAGGGATAAAACATTGGAATGGACAAGGGAAACAGCATACACCGGACCATGGTGCTGTGAAGGGGCCTAGGTCATTCCTTTGGGGTACAGCTAGAGGTTCTGTTTGACTAGAGTGAATGAGGTATGTTGGTTGTTAGGTGGGATAATGTTGAGTCTGAAGGGCGAAAAGAGTTGCAAGCTAAGTAATTTGGGTTATTTTCTGAAGGCATTTAAGAACCTTTGAAATATGTTAGAAGTGTGTTGTGACCAGATTTGATTTTTTGGAAAGATCAGCTATAGAAGATGGTCAAGAATAAACCCAGTTTGCACAGGGAGGGTTGACATATCAACTGAGACTTTCTAGTCAAACGCGATGGAACTAGCATTAACTTCTCTCTAAATCCTAATAAAATGGCAATGGAGAGATTTTAGAAATGGAGAGGTACTAACAGCAAAACTTAAACTAGAAGTTGGAAAGTAGATAAGTCGTTAACTGATTTAACAGTGGAGTGTTTACTTAGTTGGCTCTGACAAAAGCCTATCAAAACCTAATGTATCCTCAAATTAATGGTATCACATACATCTAGGGTAACCCCAAATTCACTGCCATCGAGTCTATTCTGACTCATAGCAACCCCACCGAGGGTTTCTGAGGCTGTAAATCTTTACAGGAATGGAAAGCCTCATCTTTCTCCCCCAGAGCTACTGGTTGGTGAGTTTGAACTGTAAAATAGGAACTAAATTAGGATTATTTGAAGGTATTTATTTCTCCACATCTCCTCCTTGACTCCGTGTATCATGTAACTACTCACTCTCACTCATCAGAATACTGGACATTTCTTTGTTGGAGGTGGAAAAGTGAAGGTCTTTGGCTTGGGGCAATTGGACCCTTTCTTTCCAGACATATTTATAACAAGGGCATGGGTATAGTATGTGGCGTTCTCTAACTTGACAAGTGGGGAGGAGAATTAAAATCATCAGCATCATCCACCTGAGGCGTAAGTCAGACATCAACTGTTTCTCTCATGACGCTCTACTTCTCTGCTGGATTCGATTATTTGTTGCAGAGGCCACACAGAACTCATGATTATGGTGTTTATTAGGGAAGTAAAAGTTACTGGACTGCAAACCACAAGGTCGGCGGTTTAAGCCCACCAGCCGCACTGTGGGAGAAAGATGAGGCTTTCTGTTTCTGCAAAAAAGATTTACAACCTCAGAAACCCTATACAGGGTGGATATGAGTTGGAATCAACTCAGCGGCACTTAGCAACAACAATAAACAGGTTACAATCCAGGATCAGAAATGCCTCAGGATAGTTTTTTGATCAGGACAGCTTCTTCCCAGCACTGTTTGCAGGCACGCTTCTCTGGTCCTTGACCTTTCAGCCATGTGGCCCTTTGTCCTCTATCTTGCTCAGGCACCTGCTGCAAAGCACTTTTAGCTTGTGTCTGGAGGCAACCCACTCCTCCAGTAAACCTTGGCGTAAAGGTGCTCAGCTGTAGCTCTGGTGTTGGCAAACCTAGCTCCCTGGTAAATTCCCAGAGATGTTCCACTCCACCAGTAAGCAGCCTGCCCGAAGGTACTCAGTTTTCTCACTCTGTGGTACAGGAAATCCACTGCTCTTGTTTCATCAGTATCCTGGTTTTGCTGCTTCTGCAGCTGA